TAAACTCATGAGCTGATAAAAGTTAGAGCTCAACAGCTTTAGATCAGGTCCTTTTTATCTCATCATCGGTGATTTAGGAATTAGGCTAAAGAAGTAAAGAGCACCTTTTTCTTAGCATCCCTCACACAGCGGTATGAGTCAACAATATTCCCATCCCCATCCCCATCCTACAGCTCAGAAGCTTAGAGGGAAGAAAGTCCCAGACTGAGTGAGACACTGCCAGGGGGTGTCAGTGGGCCCAGGTTGTGTCTGCCTCAGTCACCAGCTGACATTTGTCCCATGCTCTTCATCCTCACTCATCCATCAGTCTTCTCTAAAGCTGGCCTTTATTTTGTCACCCCTCCATTGGTCTTTGACTGCCTCCCTCTTTCCNCTGCTCTATTTTTATTCTTTGGCTTACTGAAAGTCTCTCAGCTTAAAGGTCATCAGGGGATGGTGATGGGACACACATATGAATAAAGAAATCAGCACTGTAGTTTTAAATTGCATATTGTGGAATGAGGAAAAGCAGCAGCCTTAGAGGGAACAGGAAGGATGTGTGTGCAAGTGTCCGGAGGCTGGCCCAGGGTGACCACAGTGGCCAGCAGGCCATGTGTAGGCCTATAAAACAGAAAGACTGCTGTCCGTAACTTGTGCCTCTGCCAAGGGCCAACTCTTTCCTGATGCTTCCTGTGGTTTAGGTTCATGAACTCGAAAAATCCAAACGTGCCCTAGAGCAGCAAGTGGAAGAAATGAGGACCCAGCTGGAGGAGCTAGAAGACGAACTCCAGGCTACAGAAGATGCCAAGCTCCGTCTGGAGGTCAACATGCAGGCCATGAAGGCCCAGTTTGAGAGGGACTTGCAAACCAGAGATGAGCAGAATGAAGAGAAGAAGCGGCTGCTGATTAAACAGGTAGGTCAAAGGCAGCGTGGCCTCCAGAACAAGGACATGCACATTCTCAAAGCCCAGTTCTGTGTCAATATCTTATCCATTCATATTAGAATACTTTATTTTTATTTTTATTTTTTTTTCCTTTTTGTCTTTTTTTTCGTGACCGGCAACAGGATCGCAACCCTCGGTGTCGCACCCGCACCTCGCTCAGCCAGTGAGCGGCCAGCCTGTATGTGGGATCCGAACCCTCGGCGGGATTGCNCAGTGCAAATTGTTTATACCAGAGTGGTGTTTAAAGATCCCTATGAGTGAAATTCAGCTACCGTGGTTTTCTGTTAAAAACTGCTCAGTAACAGAGAGCCCCTCTACAAAGTGACAGAAAGTTCTGTTCACTCACCCAAGGAACTAGAGCCCTCACGTGAAGACCAGCTTGTGAAAGGGTACTTGGATTTAACTGCATAACGAAATGCTGTCTGTTAGGTGCGGGAGCTTGAGGCAGAGCTGGAGGATGAGCGAAAACAGCGGGCACTTGCTGTGGCTTCAAAGAAGAAAATGGAAATAGACCTGAAGGACCTTGAAGCTCAAATCGAGGCTGCCAACAAAGCTAGGGACGAAGTAATCAAGCAGCTTCGCAAACTTCAGGTACGTACAACCAGCCAGCCAAGTCTTTGGCCTGTGTCATGTGGCCCTACTGAGATCAAGCACTACACGACCCACACAGCTTTCACCCAAAGTCAAAGTGGGAAGCTGGGGAAGAAAGCACTGTGCAGCACCTAACCTGTCACCTTGCCACCAAGCTTGGTGCTGAGCCAGCGCCATTCCAGGGGCACAGTGCAGACATCACCCTTGGCTGTGGGTGGGGCGGCAGGCCATAAAGACGGCACATGTGTATCTGCTGTGTCTGCAGGATGCGCCTGAACCCATTTAGTGAGACAGAGCTGGGGTGGAGTCACCAGGTGGAGCATCCTTGCCAGAACATGCTTGTGTGGCCCCGAACAGCCTCCACTGAGGCTCAACCAAACACCCACCCTACAGGTCACCTCGAGAGGAAAGTTGTGTGGACTTTCCTCTTTTAATGCCGTGAGCTGTGGTCTTCTTTTCAGTCTGTTTTAAGCATCACTTTTGCTACCCAGATGAC